CTAGATTGGCTAGTAATTTCCAGTGAACCTCCTTTATACCATCTCATCATGGATTGTGATTACAGGGCCAATATGCTACCCAAACTTTTCATGGGATCTAGAGATCCAAATCTATGTCCTCATGATTTCACAGCAAGAACTTACTGACTGAGCCATCCATTCAGTCTTTAGGCTGTACTTTAAAACATTCTTCATGACATAATTGTGTATGGTCTTTTTTTGTTCCTGAAATCCCCAAATCATGTATTAGTTATACCATGACCAAAATAAATAAGTCTTTAAAAGAGATTTTGTGTTGTATACGATGAAAGTTACAATGTTTTAATTATGCAGTATGTGGAATTCAAAGGCAAATTTTCCTCTAGTGTTCCTGTTTACATACTCCTTAGTATTCATATTACACAAGATCTTTACTCTGATGCTTGGAAAATATGAAGTAGGAATATTTCAGAATTCTTCTCTTTAATCTCGGGTTTTAATTTTAAAAAGATAACCATAGGTAAAACAACAATCCACCTCTTCTCTAGGACTTCTTGTTTGCAAGAAAAGTAGTATTTTACACAAGCAAATGATACAATCCTTGTTTGGCTGCAGAAAACTTTATGTCTTTTAAGTCCTTGAAAAGATCATCTAAACCTGAATTTGTATAAATCATCTAAATTCATATTAATGATAAATTTTGATAATTATAATTTATAATTCATCTTGCTGTGAATTATGCAAACTACAAAAATTAACAATATGGCATATGTTTACTGTTGAAAAAGTGGAATGAATGTTGCATTAATAATCAAATACTTTGTTTTGGCCTGCTCCACAAGATGGAGCCCATACCTAGCACAGTGACATGGAACAAGACCTGAGGAGAGAGTTCGTACACACTAGGAGAAATCTTATTACTATTATCCCGAGAAAAGAACATAGTATTAAACAGACTTCTAATGACTTATTACATCCACAGACTAGTGCATCTAACAACCATCATCAGAGATTCCTCTCTTTGTAGTAGATGTTGATTAATTAAGAGACTCAAACTGATCAAGATGCAGAGAATAGGAGACTGTGAATTGATTATGACTAAGTGGGAAATTTATATCATACCATTTCCTCCACTGCTCAGGGTCTATCACAGAGTAAGAGGCAGGAAACTTCTAAGAGGCAGGCATAGTATATCGCTTCAAGGAAACCATGTTCATAGGTGACACTGCAGGGCAGATGCACATATGAATTCACAGAGGTTGTGAATGCAATCACAAGACCTGTGTGAGCTCAAGCCAGACAAATCACAGATTGGGGTGGGGGGCACTGACAAAATGCCTATTCCAATATGAGCAATTGTTAGTTTGTAGGAGATGGACAGTCATTTTTCTTTAAGGATATGATCTCTGGTAGGATGACCACACTACAGGGTATGGACTCATACAAATTGGGCTTAAAGGACTTCAGAAAAAGAAATGGACAAAATTGAATTTGGGTAAAGGGACATGGGCGTGCCTCTCAGAGTAAATGGGAAAGAATGAATATGATCAATATATTGAAAGAAATTTCAAATAATAAAATACTTAAAAATTTAAGTCATTAATTAATCAAAAATTTTCTCTACATTTTGAAGAAAGAAAACATGAATCTGAAACCCAAGTTTATGTGGCTTTTGGTAACTTTCTTTGCTATTCTTCAGAATGACCTCACATGTATTTGTAATCTACAACCTTGCCTCTCCAGCTACCTCTACTATGTGAATTCTTTATTTTCAAAAGAGCCACACTTACTTCTTTTCCTGATTTTAAATTTGTAGACCTTTTTTTTTTTTTAAAAAAAAAAAAGTCCTTTCCTATACCTCTATCTCACAGGGTACTGTTTATTTTTTTCTCTTAGCAGTCTCAGAGTTTCAGGTTTTACATTGAGGTCTTTGATCCATTTGTAGTTGATTTTTGTGCATGGTGAAAGATAAGGCTCAAATTGCATTTTTCTACTAGTCAAGATCCAGTTTTATCAGCACCATTATTGAAGATGCTGTCTTTTCCCCATTGTGTGTTTCTTGCACCTTTGTCAAATATCAGATGACTGAAATTACATGTACAGCATCAATGGCTAAGGGTTTAAGGTCAACAATCAATAAGTGGGACCTCATTAAGTTTCAAAGTTTATGAACAGCAAAAGAAATAACCAAGGAAATGAAGAGGATGCCCACTGAGTGGGAGAAAATCTTTATAGGCTACACATCTGACAGAATATTAATATCCAGAATATGCAAAGAACTCACAAAACAAAGAAACAAGAAAATAAATGATCCAATGAAAAGCTGGGCTATGGATCTGAACATAGAGTTCTGAAATGAAGAAATAAAAATGACTAAGAAGCACTTTAAAAAGTGCCCAACATTCATGGTGAGTAGAGAAATGCAGATAAAAGCCATTTTAAGATTCCATCTTACCCCACTCTCAGGCTGGCTGAGATCAAGAAAACAAAAGACACCAAGTGCTGGTGATGATGTGGAGAAAGAGGAAGACTCATTCACTGCTGGTAGGAATGCAAATTCATACAACCACTATGTAAAGCAGTGTGTAGAACTCTTAAGAAACTAAAAATGAATCTGCCATATGATCTGGTTTTACCACTCCTTGGCGTATAGTCAAAGGATATCCTACTGTAGAGATACCTGTACATCCATGTTTGTTCTTGGTCTTTTCACAATTTCTAAGAAATAGAAACAACTTAAATGTTCCACCACTGAAAAACATATAATGAAAATGTGGTACATTTACATAGTGGAGTTATAGTCAGCAGTTAGAAAAGATGAAATTGTGAAATTTCAAGTAAATGGATGGAACAAGAGAATGTTATACTAAATGAAGTAACACAAAATTATTTGGGTACAAATGCCCGAATGAATAGGACTTCACATGTACGGTGGTATACATGAGGTTCCATGGGGGAAATGGGGCAGGCATGGATGGGTGAGAGGGGTCTAATTTTGTTTAAGAACTGTTGTATAAAATTATAAAAGATATATACATACATATATATGTGTGTGTGTGTGTGTTAAAAAAGAAAGGCAAGCAACATATGTTTTCCCTCATTTGCAGATTGTAACACCAATACTTTATATGTAACTAGATAGTAGATATCCTGATGTAACAGCTGGAGACAGGAAACTCGAAAGCATACACAAAGGGAAAGGGAAAGAACGAGTTCAAAAGGGAAATATTGCAGAACAGGAGTTATGTGGGGGGGGGTTTCGACACGGAGTGGGGAGGGAGGGACATGCAGGGGACCATGAGGATGGGGGAGGAGGGAACTTTGGAGAGGGGGGATAGGGGAGGTGGTTGTGTTCTGCGGAGGGAGAGGATAATGGAGGCCCTTGAACTGGGGAGGGAGGAGGGAGGTTGGACGGATGCAAGAGGAGAGATGAATGGATCATAGGTAGCATGGGAAGACAGCAGAATCTTGTTGGCTTGGGAACCCCATGAGAAATACATATGCAGTGTCTGAATATTACTGCAGGAGTTTAACTAGGCTGTTATGGCAAAGAGCAAAGTGCCAGACAGGAGAGACCTCCCTTCGAATGGTTGGTCAGAGTATCCTAAAAGACTCCCAAAATAGCAGAGGCTATTGACAGAGTCCTGGTTATCTCCCAGAGCTCAAGGTAAAACCTTGCAGCTGAGGTCATACTTTGGACACAGGTCTTGGAACAATGGAGCAGGAATTGATCTGGAAGCCTTTTCCTTGAAGACTAATTATCATAGTTCTAGAGGATACAATGCAAGCTGTTAAGGGAGAAAAATCAATAAAGGGTCCAAACCAGTTGTAAAACCAAATAACCATAATGGGCAGCACAGCAAACTACCTCTATTGGTGCAGCAGTGGCATTGTTATCTGGGGAGTAATCAATAGCTCTCTAATTAGACTTAAAGCCCTCTCAATGCAAGTAAACTCATGCATGGCATTGTAATTATAGCCAAATATACATGGCTGGAGAGGATAAAGATCCTAGAGAAAACCCTCGTTCTGTCATATTTTTAGACAAATGAAATTTCTTACCATATGCTATATATGGATCCTTATATTTACAGACATGTACACAATATACCACTCATTAAAGAAGTTTCTTTTTACAACAGATGTAAACTGCAGGATCCAAAAACTGGTCACATACAGAAAATACACCTCTGAGAGATACACAGTCTTAGGTGACATATCTACAATGAAACTTCTTCACCTAAAACTCAAGGAAATTAGTGAAACACAGGGTGGAGAGATATTGGTGCATCCCTAGAGATATTGGTGCATCCCTATAGAGATAATGGTGAAACTTCCATATACAACAGAGTGTGATGGTGCATACTAGCTTAGTTTAAGAGAAAACAGACTGCAGAGTATGTGTCCTTGGATAGGACTCTTTTATTAATCCTCACACACCCACGGCTCAGAGACCATTGAAGAAGAGGGGGTTGGAAAGATTTTAAGAGCCAGGGCTGGTTCATGAACATAGGGAAAGAGACGCTTTCAGGATAGTGTAAGCTTATACATGTGAACTTGTGGCAATGGTGGCATTGAACACAGGAACCACGCCAACTCAGACAAGGGCCCTATATGGAGCAATGGAAATAGAGGGCAGGCTAGGCCTAGTCTGGAAAGTATTTGAGACTGATTACTACTGGTTGAGGGAAGAGTAGGCCTTATTTATGATCTCTAAATAGGCTAACTACACTCCAGTGGATAAATTTGCACCAAAGGACATCCGGGTACAAATGTTTGACTGGATAGGATTTAACTTGTATGGTGGAATACATAAGGTCTGGTGGGAGGTTGGGGGTCATGGATGAGGGAAGGGATATAAATTTGACTAAGAGCTGCGTGTGAAATTTACAAAAGCTCACTAATTTGTTTTTAAGTGTAAACCTTATTGAACCGAAATTGACTAAGTCTAGCAATGCCAAAATATCTAGAAGCTCTTGCGTTGTTCCTCATATTCAATTTGGTCAGTTTATTATACATACGATTGGTCAGTAGGTGGTTCTGCTGCAGTGGATTGAGGGTAGGTGTTCCCCCGATGCCTGGCTGGCCAGCCAATGTTGCATGAGCAATTCCATGCTGAGGTCCAGGTGCAGCAAGAGGAGATTGCATCTTATCTTTATCCCATGAGGATTCACTTCCACCTAAAAAAAATTTATGTGAACAAATTTCAGTTGGACAGCTTTTTCATGAAATATTCTCGGAATACCTCTTGTAATCCACATGTGGTAGCAGGTGCCTTTAATCTGAGCAATCAAGAGGCAGAGGTTGGCAGATCTCTGTGAGTTCAATGCCAGCCTTGTCTACATAGTAATGGGCCAGCCATGGTTATATAGTAAAACCTGCTATCAAAGAAATTCCTGCTGTAGAATTGTACTCATTAATACCAACACTTAGAAAATTATTATTGAAAATGCGTATTTCTTGACAGTTTTAAACATGTTCAATGAACTAGGGATTCTAGCCATTCTGGCTCTCTCAGTAAGTATTAAATCATAATCAATAGCTTTTGGAGGCATTTATATCTTGAAGAACATTAAGTAAACACTATTGCCTTACATTCCAAACCTGCAATATTAATATGCTATATCATAAAGCTGATATTCCCTCAACAAACTCACAGCCACTTGATGAAAACCTAATAGCGTGCACAAATACTAATGAATCAGAATTATTAGTATTTTCAGATTCACTCCTCAAGAAGCAAATAATTTCATACATAGCAGATTAGGTTTGCATATAAAATATGCTGGGAAAATATGAAAATATAGATTCTAGCTCGAAACTTCACTTTTTACTTTAATCACCCATGCTAAAGAGTGTAGTAAAATGTTCACAAGTGCAAATTTTTTAATTGCCATGATCCATAGTTGTCCTAGATAGTTTGTCTGGCGTTTAGCATACTTTGTGGATAGAATTATTGGAAAAAAAGCACAGAATGATACCCTGGACATTCTGTAAAATACTGTAAATATGGGACTAAATGGTTGAATTCGGTTTACCAAGATAGTGTTCTGGCTTTAAAATCAAAGTGGCTGTGTGGGCAGGTCCATCAGGTTTTGTACTGCTGCGCTCTTCATTCAGTCAGGGGTCAGTGAGTCCGCTGCATTCCTATGCTAGAATTTTGACATTAATTTTTCCACCTAGGGGATTTTATCACGTCTTGCCTAAAAGCCTGTCCTTGTTAGGCTTTAGACCTTAGACTGCTAACAATCTATAAAAAATGTGTATGTACTAGTTAGGAACAAATCAGATAGTTCAACATGCTCAAAATTTCAACATTAAAAATGTTTTTACTTCACTGAGTTCTTATGTACACCCATTCACATTGTAAACACTATCATGTTGCTTTAGGAAGCATATTTTTGAGTAAAGTAATCTACAGAGTTAATGTATTCTAATTTATTAATCATTGACTTTAGTTTTTAATTCAAATTTGTTACTACTGTAATCCACATTGTAGCAAAAATACTGATGTGAAGCATTCCTTTAATATTAATTAGTTCCCTAAAATGAGATTTCTGAATTAAAAGTCTTATTTATATACATTTAGTTTCAAATACCACATTTATAAAGGGAGTTTTCAGAAAAATATCTCTTCTTAAATATTAAAAATATTTCTTCTTAAGATCAAAGATTATTTCATTATTTTATGAGCTTTTGTAATTTTTAAAGCAAAAATCGTGTTAGAATCAGAATCTCTGAAACAAGCTTTCCACAATTCTATCCTTGCATCATTCTTGTGCCACATCTGAAATTTTTTTCACTTTCAGGGACCTCTTCAAATTATCTGAAGTCAAAGTCAATAACTAATAAAAAAGCAACATTTTAGAAAAACTTTCTGACTTGGTGAGGTAAGAAAAGAAAATATCAAATTTTCATAATATGCATAAATTTGGAGGAGTACTTGGGCCTACCTGTACTGACAATTTTTTTTGTTTTAATCTCAGTTCCCCCTATAACGATTCTGTTAATCTGATGATGAATACGGTAGGAAATTTGGTTAATTTTATACACCTGATCCCTAATCATTCCTGTGATCATGTTGAGGTTTGGTCTGTTCACTGAGAAGAGGAAAACCTTACATGATTCCACCAATTGTTCCCTCTTTTTATCCAGTTATTTGATGCTGTAAAGCGAAGGCTTAAGAGGAGGAGTGTAATTATTGATTTTATACACGGACTTAATTTAGAAGACACTAAGTTATAGCATTTGAAATTAAGTGGTAACCCTGTATTACAGCAGCAAAAGCACTCAGCAATCCTAAGATCAAGAAATGCCAATATTTGTCTTATGAATTAAAAACCTTTTAGTCTGTATCCAACATTAAATAGCACATTAATCATTAGGCTAATGTTATTTACATCATATGTAACAAATGAACTTGAATGGAATTATTTTTAAAACTTCATTAGAGGATTTCAAAGTGTTTTTGCATTCGCACTAGCTTGGATGAGCACATCAGATGAAGGCTTTTTTTTTTTTTAAGAACATCTTTATTATAATGAGAGAATGAGGGTGGTTTGCAGCTCTTCTTACCGTCTCTGCATTTAGATGCACCCTGAGGAAACTTCTATGAAGCAAATGACAGGGAAATGCTAGATACTTTTTTATATGTGGATTTAGTACATGTTAATACTGTGGACATAATTTTGTATTCTGACCTAAAATTCTTACTGCTTTTTTATGGTCTTTTAAAAAATAATTTATTGATAATTTTATACATGCATATAAGGTGTTTTGATCAAATCCATGCCCACTTCATCCACTCCAACTCTTCCCATATCTCCCCATCACTTTTTCCTGATAACCTCATGTACTGTTTCTTCTCTTTTTTTTGAAGAATTATTTCTTTTAGTTTAATAACCACACGATTGGAAGAAGCATTTCATTACAGCTTTAACATATTGAGTAACACACTTCAGAGCAAGGATACATCTCTTTCAAAAGTGGCAATAAATTTTTAGTTTCACAGTTGAATTAATACAGTTATACAATATTGAACCCAGTATAAACCCTGTAAGATATAAAATTGAAGGAGTTTTTACCCTTTAAAGAAGACCCCCATTTCATTTTAAAATATGCTGCTTCAAAAAAAATTCTTCAGAGCATAAAAATTTGCTCCTTAATAATTAATAGATGTGAAAAACATTAGCATTGAAATCTACCTGATTACTTTATATCCATGCTCAGATGCCAAGGAGCTCAGAAATTAACCGACTGTGACTAGTAATAATCTGATATATAGAGATTAGTAACACATGTGCAAACGTCTTAATGTCAACTGCA